GGCTCTCCCTCGGTCCGCCCATCCCCCGGCGCGCCTCTCCCTCGGTCCCCCATCCCCCGGCGCGGCTCTCCCTCGGTCCCCCATCCCCCGGCGCGCCTCTCCCTCGGTCCCCCATCCCCCGGCGCGCCTCTCCCTCGGTCCCCCATCCCCCGGCGCGCCTCTCCCTCGGCCCCCCCCCATCCCCCGGCGCGGCTCTCCCTCGGTCCCCCATCCCCCGGCGCGGCTCTGCCTTCTTCCCCTGGCTGCGGGAGTGGGCGTGGGGTGGGGCTATGCCAGAGTGAATGTGCTAAGTTTCTCAGACCTGCTCTTCTGGGTATAATTTCATACAATCTCCAGACTTAGCTTTGGGAATCCTACCAGGGAAAAGCTATCCTCCATTGTGGCTATGTTGGGCCGTAGAAATGTACAGCCCGTTTGGGAGAGAGAGGACCGCCCAAAAAGACTCAGAGTCTAGAGGCTTGATGCAAGAGAGCAAGAGGATTTATTTTCTAGCGCAGCACAGGGGCTAACAGCATCACCGAGATGGGGAAGCTGCCGCCCCGAAGCTCTCAAGCTTAGGGCTTTTATGGGTCGAGGCCACACACAGGTGGCCGGGAAGTTTAGGGTGGGGAAATTCCAGTAGCTCCATCTTGCACAACCAGTTGCACGACCACTACCCAATTCCGAGAACTTGCAACCGACACTTACGGGAAAAAAGAAAAAAAGAAAGAAAAAGGGAGGGGTAGGGGTCTTAATTACCTAAGAGCAAGCATAGTTACAAAAGCGAAAAGCTAGTTAGGCTAGTTTGGGCCTTTAGGCTAGTTTGGGCCTTTAGGCTAGTTTGGGCCTTTCAGCTATAGAAAATGAATGCTTTTCCACAAGAAAATGTGGTAAATTAATTGGTAAATTACGTAGATTCGTGAAAACATCAGTTTTTCCTTTTTCTTTTTTTCCTAGGTGGACAGTTTGTGACAGTGGATAGCTCCATGGATAACCTGTTGCCTAGATGTCTGAGTTTAATGGTAAATTTTATGACACAGAACTCAGCACCACCTATACTAGTGTTCACATAGGATGAACTTGTGAACTAAAATGCTCAACCCCTACCGGCTGACTGAATGGACCCCCTCGTGGCTAGAGGAATGTTCAAGGGCAAAGTTGCCAGCCAGGAGGAAGGGAGGTCAGACTGGCCTTATCATGCCCCCCTCCCTTCTTGGAGACTTCCTTTGTAACCCATTAACAGGCCTAAGGGTATGCAAGACACACCTGCAGGCCCTCAATTTGCAACAAAATGGTGGCTTATCTCTGGTAAACAGTTTATGTTAAAACATTCCAGTCTTTAGACAAAGCTTCCTGTCTTTAGCCAATTACAATCTAAAGAATCTTTAAACCCACCTATAACCTGTAAGCCCCTGCTTCGAGATGGCCCTCCTTTTTAGGCCAAACCAATGTATGCCTCCCACACATTGATTGATGGCCTTACCCATAACCCTTGTCTCTAAAATGTATAAAA